TCCACTCTGGGGGGCCTGAAGCTTCTCCCATTAGTCCATACATCAGCTGTCTGCGGGGAAAGGACTTTCTGTTTTCCTCCATGAACCTTGGACTCACCTCTGGGACACTCTTCCTTTCCATTCTCGTTGGCTGCATCTGAAATGAGTGGTGGGAAGCCTGTCCTTTTGGTGAGCTCTCCAGTGTCCATAGCCCTTCCTGCTGGTCACATTCTGAGCCTGCTCAGTCCTTTACCAGCCTGCTGTCTGAATGAAGAGCACTTCAGGGACCTACATGGAGCAGAGCTAGAGGCCAGAAGGACCTTGGGTCCCTAAATAGGAAGGTGCCTACATTGGACATTGACCTGAGTAAGGAACAAACTTTTGTTGTGTTGAGCAGCTGAAATTTTAGAGTTTGAGGCTTGAACAATCATAGGTTTTGTTTTTTAGTTCAGCCTTATAATTTCTTTGGAAGTATAATTGTCTCAAAAAAATAGTAAGCTTTGCCCTAGCCTGGTGGCTCAGTTGGTTGGAGGGTCATCTCGTACACCAAAAGCTTTCAGGTTTGATTCTGGGTCAGGGAACATACCTAGGTTGCTGATTTGATCCCTGGTTGGGTGCATCCAGGAGGCAGCTGATCGATGTTTCTCTCTCACATTGATGTTTCTCTCTCTCTCTCTCTCTCTCTGCCTCTCTCTCTCTAAAAAAACAAAACAAACACAATAAAGTCATTTCCTAGACACAGTTCTCAAGTCTGACGTTCTTGTTTGCTTCTTTGTCATGTGGGCGCTCCCTCATGATTTATTGGTGACTATCTTGAGACTATTTGAAACAATAGGCTCAGCTGGGAATGTTACCCACTGTTGGTGTCACCCTTTAGCACCTGAGGCTCCGGACACAGGGAATTTGTAAACTGAGAAGTCTTACTAACCTTTCATACTGAGTACCCTTTTCTGTTTCATCTCTTAATAGTTCATGGCCAGAAGCAGTTGGCTTTCCAAATGTGGAAGACTGTTTATCTTTGGGATGTTTCCATTCCCTTCAGTTTCTGCTTGGGAACCATTCAGTTCTTGCTTGAGCTCACCCCTTTCTTGTAATCCTCACTAAAGGCAGCCATAGTGTCCACTGCCCACTATCGCTCTTCCCATTCACTTCTCCAGGTCCATGGTCAGCTGTCCAAGTTAACTCAGACCACAGTTTTACCAGATATTTTGCATTGTTGTAACAGAGCTCTCTAGCTTGCCATATATATCTCTTTCTTGCTATTTGACATAAAGGCAGTAAATGTTTTTTATGGAAATCCCCTTCTTCCAGCACCACTTCTTTATTGATCCAAATAAGTTAACGGCTGAATCAACCAACCACCATATTCTAATGGCTTAATTATTTCTTATTCAGCTTACAAATCAATGTCAGTTGTTCTGTCTACATGGTCATTCAGGCACAGAGTTAAGGAATTGGCTTAAGGTCACATAATTGCTAAATAGATGCATTAGGATTTAAACCCAGGCAGTTGGATGCCAGAGTCTCAACCAACCACTTTTATCTCAAGTAAACAGCTTTGAGACACAGCCATGGAAATTTTGCATCTTTCAAGATATACTGCTTACAATTTTCCATTGTCAAGGGTGACGATCTATGGAACAAAAGTCGGTTATTTTGTTCCACATGTCAAAGAGTTATATATGTAAACCTCTTGATCATACAGATATTTATGGACTCACAGCATTGCAGAGTGTTTGCTGAGAGATTCTGTAGCAAAGATACAGAAGCTCTTTACATACAACTCAACCTGCCACTGTTGATTTTAAACAGCATCTTAATTTGTAACCTTTTTTCTAACCATGCTGTACTTTTCTCAGGATAGCTAAATTAAATGTATTATATTGATCTCCTGGGCTTTTTGTTTGTTTGCCTGTTTCCATAAGGAGAGGCCAAGGGGTAACTTTACATTTTGTAAGATTATTTTTGAAGATATACAAGGGCAGGTTTTATCTGCACACTTTCATTAGAGCGCTTTATTGAAAAACACACTTTCATTTCTGTGGAGGAGAAACTTCCTGGATATTGCATGAACAAATGCTCTTGCAAACCCTGCTTGCCCCCCATCGCTTAAGTGCAAATGGACTGCATTTGAAGAGGGCCAGGAGCAGAACAAGGTTTCCCCACAAGGGGATTCTGAGGTGCTCTGAACACCAGATGTAATTGGTGGAGGAGTCCATGTCTGCAGGCTGTCACGTCTCACAGTGGGAGTCCAGGGCTGGGCTGCTTGCTAAACGACTCCGATCTATGACTAAAGCTGTGTTTCCTTCAAAAATAAATCTTGCTCTTCCACACCCCATGTGTTTCTCAGCCCCAGGAGCACCTCACGGATTTAGACAAATCTTAACATTACTTAGTAATGTTACTGCCAGATTCTTAGTAGTCAACCCATTTCTGATGCTGTTGATTCGTCCGTTCCATCTGAAATTGAGTTAATGCTCTAGTCTGATTGGCTCCCTGAGGTTAGAATAGACTATTTTGGCAGAACTTTGCAAAGGAATCCCTGACCCTAATATGTGATGACCTCAGTGGATAGTAAAGGGTTTCATTGTGTTGGGCAGGTATCAAGTGTTTGTCCAACCCGCAAGGTCTATGTAGATTTGTCCCTAATCTTACGGTGCCAGCCATCTGTTCACTGGCTCACATGGCAAGCGCTTTCCCCTGTGACCATTCTACTGAGAGACCTACTGATACCAGGTAATCAGCCAGTCATTTCCATGCAGGCAACATGCCTGCGATTTACCGAAAATATCATCAGGTTAAACCAAGAACATAGTTTTTATTTATAATAACAGAATTGGATGGGCTGAAGTGTTTAGACCACTTGAATTTTTCCCATGGACAGGGTAGTGAGTTCATTCTTATGGACTCAGCATAAAGTTCGTCTGGACTTTTAGAGCACTTCAGGGGAATACATATTCCCCAGGAGCCCTCGAAGTTGAGTCCCAGCAGCGAACATGAAGCACTTCTCTGCCTGGAAGCAAGCCCCAGCGTCCTATCCCTATGTCTCAGTGACCTATACCTAACGTCCGCTCCCTCAGCATCCTCTACAGGAGCCCCCCCCACGCACATGTCCACACACACCCCGCGAACCGAATCGAGTGCTGTGGGCATGCGCCATGCCTGCGGGCTCGGTCTGTGGCTCCCGGGTTGTGCTGAAGAGCAAGCATTGTGTTGTGGGCAGGTAACGACTGCTGGCGAGAAATAGTCCAGGCAGGAGAGGCTGAGAAGAATACGCTCTTGCAGGAAGGGTTAAGAACAAGCTTCTCGTGAGAAAATGTGAGGGGCTGTTGAAAAGGGACCAGAAGAGCGGGGAGCTGGGAAGACTCCACTCTGTTTCCGAACTGCCCTTTCGCTCCCAGCGGGTGAGCGCAGGCTCCCTCCCACACTGAGAGTTGCTCCCCTGCCGATGTGCAGCCTGTTGGGTGAGTAGCGACTTTACACTGAGAAAGGAACATTTCTCTATTTTGGCTGTGAGTTGTTATTTTTAAAGCTTTATACTCCAAACATTTTCCCCTATCCTTGTTTATTTTTTCACTAGAAAGAAAATGCGCCACTGCAAAAAACCACACCAAAAAACACAACTCAACTACAGGCCAAGAAAAACTCACTTCTAGTATTCTCTTTCTGATTAAGGCCAACTTACCCCTTGGTATGACCACTGTCTCACTCCTCTTTTTGAGTGACACGGCGTTGAATATGTCCCTCTGCTTATGTAGAGCTTCCATGCACCCGAATGTCCACAGTCAAAGCAAAATATACCATGGCAGTTGCTTTCTGGATACATCAGGTAAAAAGGCCAACCTCTCCCTCGGCATCTGTGGATCGATCTATTTATCAGTGTCTGTAACTAATAGTAAAATATAGACCTTGCTGTGTGCCACATACTGTTCTAAGCACTTTACATAAAACCTCATTTACCTTTATCTAAGAATGTGATGACAGTTGCTTCAGTATTGATGTGGGTTAAATCCAGAGAGAGTGACATTACTTGGAGGAGACTCTCTAGGCCCCTTCTGGGAATGTAGCCCGCTGTGTTGCACGTGTCTTTCTCTTTGTCTGCCTTGTCTCTGCCCTGGATCTCCTTATTAACAAGGCCGTGGCTTTCTTCTCTGTGCCTAATGCCTAGCACAAAGCCTGGTATATAACGGGCCCTCAGTAAGTCTTTTTGGGTGAATTAAAGTGAAGTGAGGAAAGAAGACAAAGAAAATCTTAGCACTGGGATTCTTTCTTCTGCTGTAGGCGATGTGGTTTGACGTAATAGTTTTGAGACCTAATCCCTCATTTGGAAAATGGGAATAATAATATCAACCTTACAGGGCAGTTGCAAGAAGTAAATACACTTATCAGAAGTACCTAGCGTATTTCAGGTCGGTGTGTAAAAGATGATTTAGCCCATAAAGGTGTTAAGAAAACTAACTAGCTGCCTGGTAAGAATAGTAACCTGAATCCCTGTCTCACGTCTTACATCAAAGTCAATACCAAATGATAGTTGCACAACTCTGGGAATTTACTAAAATCAATTGTATGTATTGTACACTTAAATGCATTATATAATAAGTGGTTATATCTCAATAAAGTGTTATTTCAAGGCCATGAACATACTGAAAGCAGAGGCCCTGTTTTTATTCCCATAACTAGCACAATATCTAGAATATAGTAGCAGATCAATAAATATTTATTAGTAAAATCATTTACCTGAATCTTAATCATTTTTGATTACCCATAGGTTGAAGAATGCTATTAACATATTAGCATTGAACAGTACATCTTTTCTAAAAATTTGAAATGAAAATGATTTATTGATGGGGAATGTTTTTTCCCTGCCTTCTAGAATTCAAATGAATGTTCATGCTTCATAACAGAATTGTTATGGTTTTTTGACACATATTTAGAGCCAGTAGATTTTTATGAATGTGAATCTTATCATGCCTTCTGGAAGATTCTCTGTCCTTTAATACTTTTTTTCTGTGTTTTCATAGGAACCAGGGAAAGTGTGTAGAGGGCATGGTGGAGATCTTTGACATGTTGCTGGCTACATCGTCTCGGTTTCGCATGATGAATCTCCAGGGAGAGGAGTTTGTGTGCCTCAAATCCATCATTTTGCTTAATTCTGGTGAGTTGATAACATGGGAGAATTTAATACTGAAATAAATATGTCTTTGTATTTTCAATCAGATACAAACTACCTGCTATAAAGGCATAATCATAAATTGAAGGAAACAACTGACAGACATTTAAAATAACCTGTTGCCATTATAGACTACTCACTGGTCATATAGGATGAATGAAAACCAAAAACTGGGCATTGAATCAAATGGCATCTTTTCATAGATATTGAGGATTTTTTAAAAGTGTTTCATGTATATAGGCATATGTCTGTTAATAATTAACAAGTAGACCAAGTGACCCTGTTGAGAAATTGTGACCAATTCCAAGGTTAAGATCATAAGGAAAGAAGTTTATTTGAGACAGACCATGTTTTTGGTCAAAACTGATTAGCTGAAAAATATAATTGGCTCAGAGATAGCAAATCCTAGTCCTAAAATTAGGAAGATGGAATGCAGGAAATTGGTCCAGCTGAAAGGGAGATTTTCATTGGTCTTTGGTGTCTAATTCAACTGTCCACTCCTATTTATTCATTGGAGAGAGCTTAGCTGAGAGTAGCCTCTTTTTATTTTATTTTTATGTAATGAGGTTGGCTGTTTTATAAAGAGTCACTCCGGGTCACCCAGATGGAAACCATGACTCAGCCTGAACTAGGGCCCTGAGTCCTCCCAGCCCCCTCAGCATTGGGGCCTAAGCACTAGGTCTCCAGTCTGTGGGACCGGAAACTCAACAACTGGGTGTCACCTGCACTGTAGATGCCCTTAACCGGGGCCTTTACCCCCATGCACGGCCCTACTTCATGCCTCTGACCTCCTTCTTACATGGAAGTCATAGCTATTCTAAAGCCTAAAGCCAGGGCCTGATTTAGATTTCCTTTCCTATGCTATTAGGTACCATCTCAAGTGTCCAATAACTGAACCAACAGTTTGTATTAATCTCGTGTAGAGAATCAGCACTTCTTTCTCTTTTCAGATGCCTCCTCTCTTCCTGACGATTGCCTGTCCCTTCCCACCTCCCCTAACAATTTCCCACTTCTCTCCCCCACCAGTGCTAGTAACCTGTGTCACTCAGTGGCCATCATAGTAACCATTCTCACTTTCCAACAGATAAATGGGAATCTGTACTATTACACTAGACAAGGACTGAATTACGGAATGGAGTTACATAAAAAAATAGTGTGAGCTACACTAAGGAAGTGATTGCGACTCCATTCAAGTTTCTGGTTCCACTCACACGCATTGTGCTTTTCATTTTAGTCACTTGTCCTGTACATTGAAAGGTCCAGACCCCTCAATGGCTCTTTACTGGATGAGCGTTCTGGGAGCAGTGCCACTCGGCTGCCTGGTGCCAGGTCCTGAACCTGCTCCTCCCTGCAGGCGGGGGGAGGCTGGCACATGCAGATGGCTTTCATGTGGGCAGTCTGTTAACTCCAGGGAAAGCTGGCCCTTCAAGAGCTGGGACAGTTTCCCCGCTGTTTCCAGGAAATAATACCCCAGGCAGGAAATGAAATTAGCCAGAGGTGTATAATCAACACAAGGAGATGCTGCGATCTTAGTAACCAAAAATATTTCCTTCGGATCCATATAGCTTTTTCCTACATTGTTGTTCTTTCCCTATGATTGGGTGTTTTTTAAATATTATGTAAAAAGGGGAAGACTTTTGCCATCAAAATTTTGGATTTGTAGACCCGTGTTTTTTAACCCCCAAAGGAAAGGAACATTCAGCCCTCACAAGAAAGTGAGGGCTGTTATTAAAGATTGGCACCAGAATCTCAAAACAGGGTTCCCCCCTATAGAATGTGGCCCTCCACGTGACTTCCGCACATCAGTTCAGTGTTCCTGCGGGGTCCTCCCTCGTTCTGCCCGTTCTCGGGATCAGTTGTGAGCTCCTTCGCACTTGAAGGGTTAGAACACTATTTTGGAAATACAAGGCATTGTACTGACAAAGTTGAATAGCTGCCTTTTCCGTGAGACATCGGGCGGCTGCTGGTCTTTTCTATCAAGGACGGTGCTGCTGGCTCGAGAGCAGTAACAACACAGAGGCTGTCTCTCAGCCCCTAAAAAGCGAAGTCGCTTCTCCCGCTCCCAAAGTGAGCTGTGTCTCCCAAAGGCACATCTGCCGCTGGGCACAGCTCCTAGCATCTCACATTGTTCCTAAGAAATGGAATAAAGAGGACCTGGCTGGAACAGAATGGTGTGGCACTAGAGCCTTCTTCAGAGTGAAAAAAAGCAAGCAGTCAGATGAGGTTGCCATCATCACCTCTCATGACACAGTACAAAGTGGCCCTGATTCCAGGGATCTCTGACAGAAGCCAGGCTGGAAATGATCCAGGAAGCCTGAGCTGGAAGACGCTTCTGATCCCTGGGAAACCAGATCAGTGAATGGAAGAACCTTGGGTTTGTGTGGACCCCTTGTCACTGGAGTCTAAGAAGGGTGTGTTCCCGTAGGCCTTGGCTTTGGGGCAGAGGCACCAGAGTTAAAAGATAGTTGTGAGGACCTGCTAGGAATGTTTTTCTGGAAGTCTTGGGAGGGCCTCCTAAATGCCAAAATCTCCATGGAAGCCCCTTCCCCAGCTGTTTGGGAGTGGGAGGCACTCGTCATGAGTTCTGCCTCATTAAGAATAGTTTATCACTTTGCTTGCGAAGGCCTAGAATCATCCATAGGACAAAATCTGTTTGGTTTCCACTCACCACCGAAGGACAGAGGCATTCCTGGTTGATCCAGAAATGCCGTAGCAAAGTCAGTGCCAGCCTCAAGCCACCCAGAACGGGCTGGACAGAGCTCAAGGGGAGGGCAAATGAGAATGGAGCCAATGAGCGCAATAGAGAAGGCTGGGGGGGGGTGGCGCAGGGAGCTGGAGCCGTGGAAGAGGTCCCTCTCAGATCTCATCTCATTCAGGAAATCTGCTACCCAAGTCCAGGATGAGCTTTTCTTCTCTACACTGGTGTAGTTCTTACACTCAGTACCAGACGATCTAGCATTTGGCCAGTTGGTTGCCTGATTTCATTTATTTACTTAATAATTCATCATTTGTTGAACCCCTACTGCAGACTTTATTCCAATATATGCAAATATATGACAGCTGGGTTTTTCGTTTTCTCGTGTTTTCCTTTAACCTGCTTTGGCTCTCTATGCTTGGATGTCCTGATTTCCCTGTAAACCATTAAAGCTTTCTTTGTATTTCTGGAAGGCTTTAGCCTGTGGACTGTCAACAAGTATTATGCCATTCGGTCTCTTAACAGATGCTTATTTGCTAGAAATGACCAGGGGGACCTGGCAAGTCTGCATGTCCCCAGGCTGTTCTGCTGTCCTAAAACATATCATCCTCTCCAGTGTACTGTAGATCTAGATACTGTCCAGCTATTCACTGGGAAACAATGCCCATCTCCTTGGGTTTTTGTGAGCTAAAGGGAAACTGTCTAGGCTGTCTAATGTGGTTCATGGAACACAGCAGAGAGTCAGTCAGTGACGGCTGTCGCCGTAGCTCCTGAGAAGCTCTGGCTTAAATGCAGTCAGTTCATGCCTTTTTTCAATATAATGAAGTGCTTTTAGTTTAAAGGTTTCCTGCTGGGACCAACAAATATGCGGGGACTCCAGGGTAATGCTGACAATACAGATTGTGACTGTTCCTCTGAGACTTTATTATTGTGCATTTAATTACATACAGAGATATTTTAGCGCAGGATTTATCTTGTGGGTAATAAGTGATTGTTATTTGAACCTTAATATTGTCTGAGTTCAAGGAAAAGTGGGGTGAGCCTGTGGCAGTCACCCCGCCCTCAGATGGCTGCCGCTTCTCATCCTCACACCCGAATGTGATCCTCATGAAGCCATCGGCATCTGCTCTGTTCAGAACCAACCTCCTAGTGAGTGTTTTTCATGACTCAAAAAAATTCACAAGTCAGAGCTTAGTAAGATAAACCTATAATCTCTAGTAAATGGTTTGGCCTCCAAACTGGATTGAATCTGCCCCTTTTCTGAACCTTTTTCTGACCACAATTCTTTATATCTCCCAGTAATTCTGAAGAGCCTCACACACTTCACTCCCCAGTAACTTTGCCCAGCCGGCTCCCTGGAGAGCGTGTGGGACCCCTGATTCAGCATCTCTGTCTAACAGTAGATCCCCTTTCCTCCCCTGGCTCATGGATCAACCCCAAATACCTAGGAGCCTCTGCTGCGCCTGCTGGACCCCCGCGCGACCTTCAGCAGGCACCTTGGTTACTCCCGGTAAGGGCTGTGGTAAAGGTGAGCAGTGAGTGTGGCACAGGCACAACAGTCGGTCCTTATACAGGGACTGATGGCCGGCTGAGTCTGGAGGATCAGGGAGACTTAGCTTGAGTCAGGAGACAGGCAAGGGAGGAAGTTCTGACTCCGCCTGGATCTCATGTGAGGGTCTCATCAAGTCACTGGGCCTGTCTTCACCTGTTTCCTCAAACGGAAACAATAATTCTAAATAGTCCTGTCAACCAGATCGGCGTGTTATGACATAACAAGGCAGCTTAAAAACATAGGCTAATATTACATCTCTAGTATGGCCTCTTCTTTTTTTTTTAAGGGAAAATATTTAACGGTCTAATATTCTACCAAGATGTGGGTGTCAAGATCTCCCTGTTCTAATAAAAAGACCAGAACTACACTCAGGCCCTATATTTGGAAGGGCCTTAGACACCCTTCCTCTGTCCTGAAGCCCAGCAGACTAAACTTTCATTCAAAAGTGTGTTGACACTTGCACCAAAGAAAACCATAGGCAAACGACAACAGAATATCGCCCATTTCTTGAGCTCAGACATGAAATAAAATACTGGTTTTTAATGGTGTTTTCTTTTCCCCACAAGATACTCACTGAACAAGTAAAAGAGTATGTATGGTTTCCTGAAACACTTACAGGAACATCAGGCTGTCCTGTGAGGTTCTGAGTCCAAACCAAATCCCCCTGCACTTGGAAGACCTACCCCTGGGCCCGGCCTCCCGCTCGTGGCTGCGTGGGACTGTTCTCGGATGGAAAGA